TGTGATAATAAAGACTTGGCCACTGAGGACTGGACACAAATGACCGGCAACCGGCAACCGACAACCAACAACCAACCAACAACCAACCAACAACTGACAGCCAACGACTTTTTGATGCGATTTTCATTTTGAGGCAGGATAATATTTATTGTAGTACAATTGTTTAAGTTCCTCTTAGGTTCTTTGCATGAGTCGAGTTTGCTCTAAGAATAAAAAATTTGACTTTAAGGATTTTAATTTGCTCATAAAAGTGAGACAATTAACAAAATAATTGGATTCGTTTTCTTATCTGGATTTTGGGTTCCGGCATCTTTTGTAGCAAATTTCATTATGCTTGAGTATTTAGTAAAGAAGGTAAATTAGTATAATGTTAGGGAATGTTAAAATAAGCCGATCAATGAAATAAATTCAATTTTTTGCATGAGGTTACGTCTGAAGGTTAAAAAAGTTTAGTATTCACTAAGCCATTGTGCGTCGCTTGGATGCTGAGCTGGTGGCTGTCGACTATACTTTCGAATTTGTCAAAGATTTTATCTGCTTTATCACCGCCATAACAAACAATAACGATGTCAGCTTGGAGATCAAACGAAAAATCAACATTACCAATAGTTGCTACTAAGGGCTCAGTAGGCAATACGGACGTAGAGATTTCTCTCGACAAGCAAAACTTACGGTGTATAGATCGCTTATCCTTTCTGTATTTCTGTACAACGCAGAAGCATAAATGTTATCACAGAATGATGAAGTAGCACTGAGAGTGCTCATCTCGTAAAATCTTTGAACGTCTACAAGTTGGCGACGTCTACCACATCTGAGTGAACCACAAGTTGTACGAGCTTTATTGCGATATTGATGTAGCTCAGCAAATAAACAACTAGTGGCTTCGCTGGGTTGGTCATGTCGCGAGAATGGATGAAAATACTTTTGCGAAAAAGGTATTTAAAATGATAATTGGAGAAAGATGGCGGAGAGAGTGACCGTGGTCTCGATGGATTGTTCAAGTTAAGTGAACACTAACTGAAATTGATGTACGAGACTGAAGAAATGCGCACGCAGCATAGACGCCTGGAGACATATGTTATGCTGCGGCATGCCAAAATTCGATAACGGATTTTTATAATCATTTAAGTAAGTTGTCAAAAATTTTGAATGTGAATAAAATCTGTTATAAAGTATTTACTAAATACAGTATCCAGTTATAAAAAAAAATTCTCGATATAATTTGCTAAAGTTATTAAGACCTTCAATAAAAATATCAAACTGCATTAGAATTGATCCATTGAATTGAAAAAAGGTGTCAATTCACAGCACCAAAAAACTGTAAAAAACGTAAAAATAATGAATATACATTAATTGGTTCAATTAATTGAAATAATATCAATTGCAAAAATCAAAGTAATAGCTAAAAGCGTGAATAAAGCCAGTTAACTGCACCAAAAAAAGCTGTAAACAACGTAAAAATAGTTTCACAAAATAATTTATGTATAAAACTTTTGTAAATCATTTTATTAATAATAACTATTAATAAGGCGTTAGTTTTTGAGTAAAATATTTATTCTGTACATTACTAAGTTTTACAATACCAGGATATAAGAACTAAGCGAGCATAATCAAGAGTAGGGTAGCTAATATGAAACAGCGGCCTTATCCTATCACTCTGTAAGATGAGTCGGAAGTAATATTTTGTAATTTTTCATAATAAAAAGAGTACATATTCCGGGCATATTTGGGCAATTAGTTGCTTTGGATGGCTTGTATCGGTTGCTATTTAATCAGTTAACTACGAAGTTATGTTATGGATCCTTGTTTTATGCATTGTCACATATTGACTAAAAATTCCGTTTAATGTTACTAGAATAGCTCTAAACAACTCTTTGAATAGTCAATATTTTATTTCAGATTAACTGTAAGTAATCGCTCGCAGTTTCTATATCAGATGTAGAAAAACAGAAATCTAATATTTTCCCAATAAATGGTTTTAGTTATCTGTATGTGACTGTTGATTTAGTGATTATCACGGTGATATTAAGGATGGTCGCTCATTGTTTTGCAGTTGTTTTAGAAATAACTTATAATTACTAATGTTTTTTAAACTGTAGGCGAGGAGGGAGAGTTTTAAATGTATTGTTACTTTACCCAAAAGTATGCATCAAAAATTTACACAACTTATAAAAAATGTTTGTGTACAATGTATATTTTTAGGAAAACTAGAAAAAAAACTTCAAAAATTTATTAGCATTTCAACCGTACTGTACTTCCTTAAAACAAAAAGATATACTGGATATTGCGCTGGAAAGAATACAAGATGAGTACGATACAGTTGATTAATTAAGTCAACTCTAAATGAAATTGTATATCTTAACATCTTAATTTAAAAATGATTTAGTGGGTTATTTTAAAATAGTATTTAGAAATAGTAACCAAGACTGAATAACCCATTGTTTCCAAATTTCTTTCACTAAAAATTGCAATAAGGGAAACTTCAGACTATTATTTGTATAGAGACGTTGCTCTGTTCTAGTAAATCAACGCTTCAGATACTTATAGGAGAATCTCTTATAGGAGATTTTGCAATGAGTTCATTAGAAAATAAAGAATGTTACTATGAATTAGTTTTAATATTTTTCATTTACACATATATTGTATTTAAATTTCTAAAACAAAGTAGTAATTAGCTGACCGGACATATTTCCAATATATTAATTTATAGATTTGAGAACATTATATCCATAGTTGATAATTTGATACATCAAATGAACAAACTGATTGTTTATTTGATCAATTAAAAATTAAAATAAATTATTTAATTAGAAATATGAACATGATTAAAGTAAGCCTTTTAAAAGCATTAAAATGGTTTCTAATATCACTTTTTTAATGTATATTCATAACTTCGAGTATATATACCTTAAATAGACGGAATGTTTGACGTGATTAGCTTGGAGTTGCATTTGATATATCATTTTATATTATCCTCAAAGTTCATTTAACTCTTCATCGTGGACAATTAAACAAATATTTCACAGGGTTCTATTCCAAGTACCTCTTATTTCACACTCTAATATAAATGATTTTATAAAAGAAAAATTTAAGTTTATCTTTTATGAGGAATAAAATAATATTTTATAAACAAAGCATAATACTGAACTGACTAACATTTATTTATTTTTGTACTGACTGATTATGTGAAGGTACAAAGAAGTCAGCTTTAAAAGTAGATATACATATATTTAAATTCCTAAACAAAAAGAAACAACTAACCAGAAACATTTCTAATATACCAGTTAATAGACGAGATTTGATAAATTTTGAAAAATTTTAATTTAGTATATAAAAATTTCATAAATATGTAACTCTAATATTGCATAGAAAAGATAAAGACTATATCATTATATATAGTATAAAAATTTTATATATTGTATTAGTACTAAAGCTATGTTTAGACAAAATACATAGAATACATACAAAATTTCGAAATATACTAAAGGTTCGATAAGTCTAAGTGAAAACATAATATAATGCATCACAATTATTTCATTCCAAATATTTTTAATTTCAAAATTCTTTTTTTTTATTTGCATGATAACTGCCATTATCGATAACTATGCTATGACAGCTGAAAATATTCAAACACTCCATATTTGAGGGATAGTTTGTTTCTTTCATTCAAGGACTATTTTTCATAAATTATTTATATAGCCTGTTTTGTTTCAGTCTCCTACTTCTATGTGCGTAGGATCTTGCATTCATCGAAATGCCTTAGTATTCATATTTCTCAACGATTCTAATGTCACTTTATTCAGGTAATCTTTTTTATGACTTCTCAAGCAACTTACATTCTTTTTGAAGCTCATACTCTTCGATTCTCCGATATTTGGTAGTAACCTTCAAAGGTTAGAGTATTTATATAGTGTGTTAATCATTAGATCAATCATTCTTGGCGAGTCTGAAATTATAGCGGGGTGTAAGTTAATTCCAACAGATAAAAAATGATTGAAGTCATCTATTGCTATGACGCCAACATTTGTACGAGGTCTGCTATATATATTTCCGGCCTAATAATGAAAATGTGAATATTTATTATCAAAAATTGATATTCTCTTCGATCTAAGCAAGTTTTAATTAAGACCCACCCCAACCTTCATCCGTCCCGTATCCCAAATAAGCCTTCTTCATCTTACTCTACGCTTATCCTAACATAATTATCCATATTTGTAATTCCATATTTGTAATTTTCAGCTCCATAGATGACAGCAACAAAAATTATGCTTACTTTGGAAATGCCTCCTCTTCTTCAATGAGCCGCTGCATATGTATATGTCCTTATTGAATATTTATATTTTTCAATTACTTCTGGATTTTTAGTATGTTTTTTTAGTTTCATCTTGGTCTGATTATAGTTTTAGTGTTGAAGACGCCGAGATTTGATAAGTGCAATATATAAAGGACTATCAAACAAAATGTTTTTAATAGAAACCATCGTAACCCTTTTTGAAATATCCTTCTAAATGAAAATCAATAAATTCTAACAAAATTTTTTGAAAAAGGAATATTTCTTTTTACTTTAAAGCTTCTGAACTGTAATCGATATTATTGGTAACCATTTCAGTCTAAATTATTATTCGATTTCTTGGTACTATTTCACAACAAACCGTTTTCGATTTCTTGCTATAATTTAACAATAAATCGTTATTGATTTCTGGTTACCATTAGAATATATTGTTATCGATTACTTGCTACTATTTCAAGATTTTCCATTTAATTTCAGTTATTGTGGTTATTGTAACAAAACGTCAACCTGCTTTCTAAACTTTGTTTGGAGAGGTGAACGACGCTCGATCGTCGAAGAATACGGATAGTTCGGGATGTTGACACGATCGTTCTTGGAACCATTATGAGTAGTAGTTGTTAAAAATATATATAATAGTAAAACTTTTATATTATTTGTATCAATTTATTGCATTTTAAGTTATAATTAAAATTATATATACAGACGAGAATATAAATAATAAAAAATATTTCATTACGGATATAACAAACAATATCTTATAGTGACCAAATCATTCTAAAAATATATTTGCGGATCTTGTAATCCAGTTTGGCGTGTATATTTAGCATTTTCGAGGTTTTATAAATCTCTATTAAAATGCACATACAATATTTTTGCATTTACACACCTAAATGTGTAATTCTATAGCCACATTATTTAACTTTAAACTAAAAATATTCCGATAACTACAAAAACAAATCAAATTATAAATAATGAAAATCATGGCTGCAGCCTAGTTCGAGTATTTGATGTGCTCATAAGCATAGGGTCCACTACTGCTGCTACCAGTATTGTTTAATTGCTGTGCTAGATGCATCGGGGGTAAGTAAATTGGTGGCTTGCGATCGATGAGAGAACTGCCAACTGATGAGGATGGTGGTGTGAGGGATGAGTGCTGATGCTGCTGCATTCCGGACAACGAAGATATCTGTGAGTGTGACATAGAGCGCAGACCTGTACAGAGAAGAAATATAGAGTTAGAAAAAATTTTAATGGAAATAAAAAAAATTTCAAAGGCCAATCCAAAAGTAAACAATTTAAAAAAAAACACACACATTGCGCGAAAGGTCAGATTTCTTCTTTTGTTTTATTGAGTCTATATTTTATGCTCAGAACACTGAACACTACGATCAACAAATTTTTTTTATTTTCTTATTTTCAACTGGTACTAAATCAACTGTGTCGGCTGAATCAAATGAAACTCACGCATTCACAAGTTCACACATGTTTCACTGAAGCACAATTCTTCATTGTTGATGATCGTAAATTTTCACTGCACCCATCTCTCCTGCTTATGTGCATGTAGTACTGGGTACTATAAATTCGATCAATTTCAACTTATGTACTCGTAAAAATTATAATGCAACCCTTTTAATTGCCTTTCGAAACCAAATGCAGCTCATAAAACGCAACTTTTTTGATTGACACGATCACCCGTACTTACCGTTGTCAATGTTGTAAGAGGCGCCTCCAGTGGTGCTGCTGCTGTATGGATAGCCAGCAGCCACAATGGATGCAGTAGCATAATCTAAGCCACCGCTGTTGTTTGAGCTTTGTAGTACCGCAGCTGCACTTGACGCAGTTGATGACGGTGATATGGCAGAAGAGGATGAGGACACTGTTGGCAAAGCGGATGAAGCTACTGTATGCGCTAATGGTGGTGTGGTGCAATTATTTTGTAGACTTGAGCTTGCTGCAGCTATATTTGAATATTGAGGTAAAGCAGTTGGAGTGTGTGCAGCATGTGAGTTCCAAGCATCTACAAAACCTGTACCGGCACCATTGCCTGTGCTGTAATCATAAGAGCCATACGGCTGCGTAGCATAAAAATTTCCACTGTCCTATAAAGATTAACGTTTGTAAAAAAATTAAAATGAAAAATGGAGCATATCTTAATAATAAATTAACTATTTAAATATTTAAGGTAATAAAAAACTCCTGAGGGCCTTATTATGTAGAGTGTCATGGGCTCGTCAAAATTAGCTCTTTTGGGGTATCACGAAAATGCATGTTATGCAGAGTGTCATAGAAATTTTAATAATTTGCTCCTAAAAGATAGAAATGTTGACATTTATGACTGAACAATACTGCTTTGCGTAAGTGACGAGGCACGGATAGCCTCGACACTCATGATCAAATTTCAACCGATATTTTGTTTTTTCTGTTATTCTCAATTTTATAATTTGCATTGAAAACAAAAACAATAACGAGCCCATGACACTCTACACAACATGGCTCTAAGCTGTTCTTAGGCTTTAGAATCCAGCAGCATAAGATCTAATGCAATGTATGAAGTTGTAGTCAATATGCTACGAATACAAAGTCTACCTCAACGCTAACCCTGACCATATAGAACAAAGATTGTCTAATGAATTATATATTACTCTATTATATATTATACATATATACTATTATAATATTCATTTGCTCGAGTTATTCGATTTAGTGTCAGTTAGTAACTCTACTCTATATTCTGTGTTAATCTCAAGGTGTCTCATTGGGAAAATGATGTGATATTAGTGCTTATTTGAATTAATTGGTTAATTCAAACCAATTAGTTAACCTTTATAATAAGTGTTACACTGGTTAAGTGTTTTTTGGAATAGTTACTTATTTTTTTGAAGAGTTCCACTGGTGTAAATAATTGATAATTAAATTAAAAAAAAAAATTAACACAATTCAAAATAGTGTAGTAAGGATTTTGAAAAAAATTGTTAATATAGTTTTATATATATAGATTTTTGAAGTTATTTGAAATAAAGGAATATGACGAATGTATCGAACGAGTATGCTGATGAGCTAGCAAGAGTTGGCATGTCTTCTATAAAACCTCGCAGGTAAATCCTTGTTCCCGCTAGTCACAGATGATAATTAGTAAACGACGACTTTTTGCGACAGGTGAATAGAATTGAGATAATATTTCTTCAATAGCCGGATCGAGAACAACATAGCGTACATAATCAAGATATTGAACCTCTGTCTTAATTTATAGTAGTAAATCGGAAGTATTTAAGATATCGGTTCTAGCAAAACACTGGACTATAAGACAGCATGGAGTTAGATTTAACTGGTACACCTGTTGTGTCTCTGTTCAGACTAATCCAGATCCAAACTTAAGCATTTTGATGTCCCATTCTCTAACATGCTCACCGATATTTTCAACATTAATATTGGTCACACACTTGCATTTATCAATGCGGCCGGCTGGTTATAATATGTACAATAGTACATTAATACAATAATAGTACAACTTTCTACAACTTTTGCAATTTTTTCTTACGACAAATGTTGGATCAAAACGGCTTTTTTAGCTAACTGAAAAGAATTTAATCCTTCTTCCAATTCTCCTACCTCCGCACCCGCCTTCGCTGCAAGCACAAATTATATTGTGAGTATTCGTAAAAAAGTAAGTTCTTCTATTTTTCATTTAGTTTTTTTTATTTCTCTATCCCACCCTATTTCCCTACATATATCTATTTGGATTGTATTATAAAGTTCAATCTAAACACCTTGAATTATTTCCCTAAATACACCTATTTGAAGTGTATTATCAAGTTCAATCAAGTGTATAAATATAATTTTACATTAAAATAAATATGAACTTTGTATTAAATGAAATTACCAGATTTGGATCATAAGCCGCTGCAGTATAAAACCCATTTACTGATGTATAGGATTTCACTTTAACTTTCGAACGATAGCCACGTGGACGTCGTCGTAGGCTGCCCTCATCTTCAAACATGTAAGCGGAATTTTGTTCAATAGTCCAATAGTTGCCTTTGCCCGGTTTTCCGACGCCCATATCTTTTGGCAACTTCTTGAAGCATTCATTTAAGCTTAGATTATGACGCACAGAATTCTTCCAACCAATATATGGGCCACGAAAAAATTCAAATCTGAAAAGTGTAAATACATTAATGAAATATTGATGTGCATATGTGTATAAAATATACATATATATACATATGTATATAGATTAGCAACTATAAAAAAATTCATATAAATTTGAAAAAAAAAACAATAAAAATCAGCTGAGTTTTGTCATCAATTCCGAAGCCTCATCAAAAGTTTCTGCCTACGTAATGAGAATGACACTGCAAACACGAGACCTTCATGTGATCATCGATCACGACAAAGGATTGTGCGAAAAAAAACAATATAAATTCTACAAAATTTATGTCTAAGCATAAATTGATATATAAAAAGCTATAAAATTAAAAATAATATAGATTTATATCTACTTATATCGACTGGGTGCATTTATACCCATAATTTAAAAAAAAAATTCAAATCCCGTTGGCAACAGTCGTTTTACTGGCGCTTCGATCATATGGGAAAGTAAACCTACTCGGTATGTGAATTTGATATTTGAGGCACGTGAAGTCGATTTTAGTTTATATATCGAATGTCTTTGCACTGAAGGAAGTTGAGTTATTCTTCATAAGATTAATTATTTTGTACTTACTCATAATAAAAATTACATTTAACTCCACTTCTGTATTTTTATCGAAGTAAATTCAACGGAATATCTTTATAGTTTTTTATTAAATAGTTTCAAAGTTAAAACAATAAATGTTTTAGTAAAATATTGTTACTCTTTTATATAAATATTTTTTCTTTAATAAATATTTTTTTTCAAGATATTTTTAATCCAGAGCAATAGTATAATTGGTATAAGTACAATATATTAAATTAATCAATTCATTTTTTTTTTTGTGATGATAAAAAAGTGTAAGAAATATTAAAAAGAATGATAAAAAAATTTATTTTATTTATTCTCCTATATTAAGTAATAAAATAAATATATCCTACACATTGAATTTTAACAGAATTATCTAACTGGAATATACGCACCCCATTCTAAAGCTAATTAGACAGCTGTTTACAAAAAGAATAAATGATTTCAGCTTAATTAAAATTAAAATTTGATTTGCCACTAGAGGAACACCCTCAAAGAATAATGAATTATGTCTCCATTGCTGTAGAATATAGCAGTTAACAAACTGTTCCTCTTACTATTAAATGAGAGGTGCAAGATTGTGAAGTATGCCGACAATATCTCATTAAATTCTCCATATATCAAATCTATTCTATCCTGTGTTACATTTCTAAACGAGATAAGTAGATAACGTATCAATCGTTTAGATATCTGGACATAGTTACTACCACGGCAACTGTATAGGAAATGAACTTGCCCTGAAAGCCATAGCTATTAACTTTATCAGTTATTATTCAGGTATTTATATTCAAATCAATTCCTGTCTATAATACTTTTCACTACTGAAAATGAAACAAATTAATGAGACGAATGGAGAGAACTTGTGCCAAGACTAAAAAAATCTGGAGTTCAGAAATAAATTCCGAGAACTAGGAATAATCAATTTGAACTATATAGAATATTTTAACCTATTATTTTAAGTAATAGGTTATGACACAAAAAGTTAATATTATATTAAATATATCAAGAATAAATGAAACATTTTCTTTTATATAAGCATGTATTTGATGTATTAGTTTGTTATTACAAATTGGGGAATACTATAGACTGTGATACAATGACGAATTGTGTAAACTCTAGTTATCTTAGCCGATCCTAGCGCGTATAATGAACGTGAGAATGTTACAAGATTTGGATCTATTCCATATGTTATATGTTTATCGTTTCTGTTCCTACAATGGATAAGTCTGATAAAATTAAATAAACTAAGATAGTGCTCTATTATTTTCAGATAGCCTGATAAGATATCAGATAGTACGATGATAAGATATTAATAAGATATAAGATAATGCTCGTTTATTTTCGGACCCTTATATTGGAATTTACATGATACGTCATCATTTTAATCTTTTTTTTTGATGATATTAAGAATACAGTCATCTCTCAGTACTTTAGTTTACAATTATATATATTTACTGTTATGAAGTAAAATAAAGACTGTAATTTATTAAGGGTTAATTATTAATCTTTCTTTGCTTGTCTTGTATGCGTTTTTGGACATTCTGAAAGTGAGTGAGGCTACTTTTTCCACATCTTTTTTTGAGATTATTTTTAATCCTGCACTATGGTCTATTATCTATGGATAATAGATCTATTATCTTCTGAAAAGCAAGCTAATTAATTTTCCTTATAATTACATCAATTTTATGCAAAACATAATTTAAAAAACATTTTTCAAAAAAGAAATCGGATAACACAAATTGTCAAGAACTGTAATGATTTATAGCACGAATTGTTTGACTATTCGTCAATATCAATCACTTTTGGCGTCGTCTAAACATTATCTTTTCCCAACCCTAATAAACTGTTTCAATATTTTCTATTCTGTGATGGAATGGAAACAAAAATGACGAATGTACCGCAGTTTTGAATGAACATTTTATAGATCTAATTCAACTTTGAAGATATTGGACTTTTAAAAAATATTGCATTTAATTTATAAAATTTTCAAAGGAAAAAAGAGTAAAAATGAAATAATTTTTTTTAATTTTACATCCTAAATTTTTTATAATATCCTTTATTATTATAGAGTTACCTCACAATGTCAAATTACAATAATCGATCATGCAACAGTAATATCTTTTATTTTTATATTTATAGTGCTCTATCTCGAAATCTGGTATACTTTCTTTATTACTAACATCAACTTATACCATAAGTTGAAATAGTAATATTTTTCACTTTTGTTATAGAAAACAGTTGCCATGATATCCGTGTAGATCGATCTATTTTAGGATTTCTTTATATCCAAATAATTTGACTCTTTGCAAAATTTAAAAGATCAAATAAGAACACCGGTAATTATGTTATACTTTTTACTTATTCAATTTTAGTTTGTTTATAATTTTAAAAGTTAAAAATATCAAATTTCAAAAGGAACAATATTTTTTAATAAGTTTATTATCTAATTCATTCCTAGTCCTATACGAGGGTCGGAAAATCTATCTCAATTCTGCTAAATCTTCTACACAAACATTATTCTTAAAAGTTTTACACAATTGTTACATCAAAGTTAAATGTATATTAAATATTTTAAATATATGTAATAGATTAAATAGGTAATAAATTAAATAGATAACAGATAGAATAGTAAAGTAAATTAAATTAGGAAGAAATAATTATCTATTAATATTATCTATAAATAAATCTATTATTCAAGTAAATTGTGGATTAAAGTAAATATCGCGGATAAAATATCTATTAAATTAATAGACATATTAGCAAAGAATATTTTCTATTAAATATTATAATCGCAATAGAGTATCTAAATCCAAGTATTTAATTATGTATTCGCAATAGACTTCTTAACCTCAGGTTAGAGACTAGAAATTAGAAACTAGAAAATTAGCTTTTCTCCCTAATGCCCCTAATTTCAATTTATATTATAAGAAAAGTGATTCAATTTAAATATAGTTCAAAATCTTATCGGAACTCTTATCTATAAAATCGTTTAATTGTCGACTTACCTTTTCTGCAAGTAACTATAAATCTCACTGAGTGTTAATTTGCCGTTGCGAGACTCCTTGATTGCCATTGCAATCATGTTGATGTAGCTAAGCGCTGGCTTTTCTGGACGACGAGTACCGGCTTTCTTTGTTGTATCCGGTGAAGCTATATCCTGCGTTAAAGGCGATTGTTGCTTTTGTTGCTGTTGACGTTGCTTGTTTTGTGAACGATCACTTTGACCACTCTTTACTGAATTTGCAGGCGAAGAACTTTTGGAGAATGAATTGTTGTCATGACTTGAAATCATTTGATTCGAAATACATTGGCCGTTCATGATAACATTTGTGCAAACTGTTGGAGTTCCACTTGATGCTGACGTGTTGCCCACATGTTGTATGCGCTGTAAGGATTGCGCTAACATGTCGGTTGAAGGAGCAATAACATTTGGAGGCACTTGTTCCAGCTGATCCTGTTCGTGACTATTCATGTAATCTGTGGTGGGATTTAACACAGCATTACTGGAACAATATTTGATTGTGGACGCGTAATGATGATTCAATTGTGTTCCCATGGAGGTTTGTGGTAATAAGTTGACCACTTTTGTAGCAATTACCGATGATGTCTGTTGAAGATCATTTTCTATCGGTGTGTGTGGTGTCGAATTGGGTGAGGAATTAGTTGAATTATTATTATTATTATTGTTGTTGTTACTATGATTGAGTAAAACACCACAAGAAATAGGACTTGAAGATGCAGATGGTGTACACATATTCGATAAGGATGTCAAACCGTATGTTGCTGTAGCTGACTCTGTGACATGTACTTGTGGTGCTTGACTCATCATTGTGGTATAATATTTTCGATCAAGATAATTAAGATCTGGCTTCTCATCGGCCAACTCCAATTCTTGATGCATACGTAGTAATGTTGCCTGATCGGGAAACATTACTGGCTCAAAACCGCGATATATGCTTGAATGATGATGTGCCATGTGATGGGGTTGGTGCAGACCATGGCTAGGACTATGATTATTATTATCCACAAATTCTTCACTTTTGATCATTTTTTCAAAAATAATCTTACACTTTTATTTTATTTTATTTTATTTTATTAATTAAAATATTTTGTTTTTATACAGATTAGTTGAAACATCAAACAATTTTAGCTTTTTAATATTTTTTTTTTCTGTTTATTTATTTATTATTTGCTTTTATAAATATTTTTTGTTTTGTTTAATATTTGTATCACTTCTTTTTTTATACAATGAATGAAAATCACAAATTTGAATTTTTGTTGCAATTTGTAAACATCCGCGGACCCAAACTTCACTCTTCAAAAATTCTCATTCAACTAAATTTGTTATTTTAATTGAATGATCCCCTGTTAGTTCTGCTTCATTTGCTTTGCTTCCTTATTGAGTGTTTTTCGGCAGTACCGTTACTCGCATGAGAACGTACTCCTACACTATATACAGTTACCTATATTACATGCATATGTACATATTCACATGTACATTCAGTTCAAGTGGCGCCACTATGCTCTTGAGTGAGTTTCGTTACAAATTTAGTTGGTGCAGCAATTGTGAGTGATTCTTTATGATCCGCGGATATATTAAAGAGTTTGTGATCAAATGTATATTGCTTACCAAATTCCCTTGGAAAAAGACTCGGGAGTAATAAAAAATTTGTCTAATAGGCCAGTTGAAAATTAGAAAAATGGTTATTTGTGTATAAAATAATTTAGTAATTTCTTTAATACTACTTATCATATTTTATACTTTTTTATATCAAGTAAATACGTTTAACTAAAACAATTTTGGGAGATTTTAGTTGAGAACTTTTTTAGAACCCACATTGATTTTAGTTCTATCTTTAAAATGGTAGTATTCGATTCGTAAATCTGCATTCAATCTAGATTTGCTCTCGCTCTGTCAAATTTTGTTGCCCAATCGAATAGTTTTAGAGTAATCCAACATTTTTGTAGTACTGTTAGAAGACATTTATATATGCCATTGCCATTGTCAAATCCATATAACGTTTATGAAGTATCAACCTTAAAACCACTATGTATAAAATTTCATGACATTTCGATTAGTCAGAAAAAAAGTGACAGCCATTTAAGTAAAGCTACTTTTATTATTTTCAATGGATTCAAAACAATTTCGTGTGTTGATTTATCATTGCTTCAAAGGTGTTATCCGGACTCTGCTCCGGATAATTGCTCTAGTTTCACCAAGACAATGCACCATGCCACAAGTCAATAAAAACGATGGTAAAATTGCACGAATTACACTTCGAATTACTTCCTCATCCACCGTATAGTCCAGATCTGGCCACAGCGGCTACTGGCTATTCGCTGATCTCAAAAAAATGCTCGCCGGTAAGAAATTCATCTCAAATGAAGAAGTAATTGCTTAAATTGAAGCCTATTTTGAGGTAAAAGACAAATCCTTCTACAAGCACGGCAACGAGAAGTTAGAGAGGCGTTGAAATGATTGTAGTGCTATTGAAGGAGATTATATTAATGAGTAAAATCGATTTTTGACAGAAAAAATTTTTTTTTCTTAGTTAGTCACACGACTTAAGTGATGTGTTACATACATATGTATGTAATCGAATCAAACCACACTTCTTTTGCGAATATATACAACAGCTGTTAATTTCAGGGTAATATTACTACTGTGGCAAAATATCTAGAGTGTTATAAATTAATCTCGAGTGTTATACATTTGGATCAAGATTTGCCAATCAAAAATGAAAATTGCAATAAAAGTGTATCTCGATTGAAAATGTTGCCCCAGATTCATCAATCGAAAATGACATTATAATAATAGATCAGTAATAAAATTTTTGATGTAACAATTCAAAACTAAATATTAAAAACGTATTTCTATCAGTAAACAACAGAGATCAATCTTATTTTTGTAAAAGATTGAATAAATAAATAAAAAAAAACTAAAACATTTTCAATATTATTAAAAACATTTTAATAAAAATATCTTTCGTTTTAATTTTGATATATGATTTTAATTAAGAACTTTTTTGGAAGTCGCACTGATTTCAAAAAGCAAATACCAGAAATACCACGACAACCAAATCCTAAATTCAACGAAATGCCAGCAGAATTTAGTCAACAGCAAGATATACATGAGCACGTGGCACAACAGCAAGATTCAAGACCTAGTAGTATGGAAGAAGTACAACGACACCGAAGTGCAAGCCCTATCAATGTAACGCCAAGTCCAGATGGAAAACAGCTACTAGTTACCCCAGAGCACGCAGTACAAGAAGTGCTTAACATCTCGCAAGAACAAGAAGCAAAACGAAACCATAGAAGCAAAAGGATAAAATTATCAAAACGAATTCGACAAAAGGTCAAATATATGATGAAATACTTAGTCTTACCCAATCACTACCATTAACACAACTACCACAGCAAAAGGAAAATAGTCCTACTCACCTAAAGGAAAAAACGATCCGTCTTCTAAAACAAGTAGGAGTATGTTAGGAGTATCACGCATCGCAAAATCCACCTAGTATTCAAAATCGACAGCAACAAGTGAAACAGCGAAGTGTATTTCAACAAAACGATCACCACACCAAAGAGCAACACGACTTCTATAAAATATATAAGAGTCCAAAGCAACGTCACAGAAATCACGCTGGCAGGTTATGGTTCAGGGCAAATCAGTTTCCCGAAAGAAAGGAGGGAGTGTAACGACACAAAATTTTATTAATTAAAATTTGATCGTTACAACGTCGTGGGTATAGCTTCCTACAAAACGCAACACGGCTTCCTAACACACAACAAGTAACATTTATATAAAACTATTGAAGACATCTGGAACAAAATTAATTATTAATGATTAATTATTAAATTAATGAATTAATATGAATTATTAAAATGAATTAATAATTAAAATATTTAACTTGACTAAAAAACTCACCGCAGCTTCAACAACAACAAAGCAAAAGCAATAGCAATAGCCACCCCACAACCACAGACATCCAGCAATTGGAGTAATATTCATTATGATTCACAGATTTTTTTTTAAATTGATTGTTTTATTAATTACAATTATTTGATTATAATTTATCTTTTTATAAGAAAAGGAAAAAAACAAACGTTAAAAAACATTTCGACTGGCACAACACATTGTTAAAACAAAAACAAACGAGATCAAAACAAAATTCTAATAAAGAACTGTCAAACTAAGAAAGCTTTGGTGCAAAGTTGTGGAACTAGGCCAAACCATAAGAAAGAACAAGTTCCAGCTTCCACATGAGAAAAAAAATAGAATTCGCCTTAAAGCTGGACTTTCGCTGGTGCATTGCAAAGGAATCAGTTCACGAGCTTTGATCAACGGTCGTTGAACTTTAACGTAGATACAGCTGGCACAGTTGATCGTTGACGGTATAAAAGTGCGTGCACTTCTCTTGTTTTGTTCAACCGCGAAAGAAAAACTCCTGGTTCTGGCGTCAGCAGCAGCTGAATTTCTTTGAATAAGACGGCGGTGTCAATGTCGAAATTTAAATAGTTTCTCAAAGATATGTATGTTTTCAGAAACGTGAAACTACAAATTGAGCTTTGCTTCAGGTCATATTCGCTTTCGTTGCTGGTATCAAACAGCAATATATCAAATCCTCTCCCCACTGATAGGAACCCACTGGGACTTGATTGTATAGTCCCTTTGGGGAGTGTTGAATAGCACTTGGTTGTCGATGTTGACATGTGGCTCCGAGACATAGATCCGCCCGTTTGCGGAACGTGTTGAAAAGATTCTTACTTTAAGATGAAAGATCTGACAATCATTCTGATCAATCTAAACTTCAATCACCCAATCAGCATCCTAGATGTGTGAGATATCATACCACATTTTATCTTAGAGAAGATTTAATAAGTTTTATTTATAATTAGAATCTTTAATTAAAAATCTTCTTTGATATAATGGGCACTATTTGAAATTTTCTACTGGGTGCTCTTATGCACATAAATAAAGATTTATAAGAGATTTTTTTTGATAAAAATTAAAAGATATTGATTAATACTATTAAATGAGAAAATAATACAACTATCTTTCTTATTAAGTTTGTTTTTTTATTTAATATACTGCACAAAATAAAAAGCTGGTGAAATCAGTTATTATTTTTATTTTATTAAAAATTAGTTTTATAGCATGATAGATACTCGGCACTGATGCGTTAACGACAGAAACACTTGGATGAATACATATCTCCTGATAATACCTGATACCCAGTGAAATAAAACAAATATTGAAATTTGTTGCAGAAGTAGAGCCGAGAGAGTTGCTTTAAGTATATTAAGGGTGCAGAATATGTTTTAAGGATCTGATGATATATTCCCTCATAATAATAATAATTCCATCTTTTACAATAAAATTATTTTCATTATTTTATTAAATTTAAAATGAATAATTTAATATAAAACTATGCCGATCATTCGCTTTTAGCTATTTAGAACTTTTCAGCTATTTTACTTATCCTCTCTATATCCTAATATATTTAATATATCCAAAATTTCTTATTGAAAGTTTTCATTTATTTTTTGAGAATCTTAAACACAATTTAATGATAAATTAAGTAAGTTAACATTTAATTTTTTACTGTAATTTAGCGCTAGAGCAACATGATTAAGTAAAATTTGTTTATAAGGTACATCTTCCATATGAACTGGAGGGAAATATCTGTTGCAATAAAATGCCTTCTCTATCCAAAAGATCTGAAAGAGAATTAGACTTGTAGATGCGTTATGAGTACTTTTTGTACTTTTTGATATACTATGGACTTTTTAGCATATATCTTAATACAATATTTTGAAAAGGTTGAAGTTTTCTAATAGTGAATGGAGCGGCATTGCAGTACGAAGCACTACAACAAAGTAGCTTAGATCTAATTACTTATTTATAAAGCAAAATTTTGTTTTTTACACACAATTCCCCTTTTATTAATGATTTCACAGCATTCAGAGTTACATGACAAAACAGTTTCTCGACCATTATATGTGTTTCTAGCGAAGGGTATCTTCTATCAAAAGTTAGATCTAAGTATATTACATTATTTTCCTATTCTATTTCCACATTATTGAACTTCACTGAACCTCATTTTTAATTCATTTTAGATTTTGATTTCTTGGCCTTGTAATGAACAAATCTTTCGGTTTTTTAGCATTTACTCTAATTCTTCATCTTCGGACGTATATTATCAATATGAATTTGTAAATTATTAACAACAGAATTAGCATTTTTACCAGCATACATAATGCAAGTGTCGTCAACAAAGAACAAAATTGTGTTCAAAGATTTCAAAGGAAAATCCTATGTATAAAAATTATACAAAAGGACACAATGAAGATCCTTGAGAAACGGACTCTTTAATTTTCTTTATAGCTTAAAAGTGGCTTTGGGATTTCACCAAGTACTCTCTATTTGATAGAGAGTTGTTGATCGTTAACGTAAATTCATCTTTAATTTTCTTAAGAAAACTATCTTGAGCTTATTTCAATTAATTACCATAAAATGTAAACTATTTAATGTGTTAAAATAGGTTGGTTCTAATATGGCTCTAATAGTTGTTAAAAGCCACAATGTCTTCATAATGGCAGATAAGGGAACCATTATTAATAACTACGAAAAAAGACTCAGAGTTATACCAGATACGAATTAAAAAAAAAAAAACATTGTTAAACAGGTTTTAGATTATACACGTACATTACCGGTTTCTGGTATAAAAGAAAGACACAAAGAAATCCGCCATCGCCACAAAAATGAAATACGTCCGCTGTCGATTAACGTGCAGACGTTCTCGCTTGCCGTGGATTCTTCAATGCCGTCATTTTATAAAACGCGTACATTTCTTCGTTCTTGATTTTTTTTTCCTCTCAGCGTGATCTGTTGAATGTGTCATCTCCCTTGATCAACATCGACGATTCAACGCGTACGGGTCGCTATATTGGCGTTGTTCTTGTTCGCATTAATGTTGTTGTTGTTGTTGTTGGTGGTGGTGGTGTTGTTGTTTTTGTTGGCGTTGGCTGCCACAACTGCTGTACATTTCAATTGAATTTCATGAGAAGGCGGAGTTTTGTTTACATTATTTTTGTCGAACGCATCATCAGCCCCGGATTGGTGCCGCTGTCTGCGCAAGATACATGCTTGAAAGATATTTCAATTTTTTTTACTTTTCACAATATTTCACATAGTAATTTTTTTCCGTTTTTCTTGCTAATTTTTTATATCTTTTTATTTTTATTTTTTTTTATATCTTTGCGCAATAACTGATCATGAACTGAGATGCTAAATTTTCGTAGAATTATTCAGCAGAAAAATGTAATTCCAATATTCAGGTTATTTTGTTTTCTTTTAAGTTATTTGCTTTTTTTTTGACTATTTTTAATCTTATATGCGAACCAAATGCTTATTATTTTTGCAAATTTTATATCAGCGAAATAAATTATACAGCCAGCAGCAGCTTGAGCTGAAAAAAAAATTCATCTCTCTTCAGTTGAATGAATATTAATGGCCTCTTGCCTCATAGTGGGATTTTCGTATAGCTTTGGACTTCTGGCACCAAACCGTACACCACAATTGGGTCATTCGAATATTGCGATACTCTTTTCAGCGGGAGTTGCAATAAAAAATTTATTTTAATTGTTAGTAATTTCTTCAATTGTGTAATTTTTCCAAATTTTTATTGTTTTTTTCTTGCATTTTGTTTTTAAATGTTAATAAATTATTTTTATATGCAATAAAGTGTTCTTCAAAGTTTTTGGTATTTAACTCCATAAATCTATTTTATACTTACCAGGTTGTGCTGGTGTTTGAATACCAACCATTCCCATAATGAAAACGTATACTTATTTTTTTTATAGATTCTATAATTCATTATTCGTATAAGTTCTAAAATTTTATTGATGGAAAATCGAAAATTTTTCAACATATATTTATATGTATATATGTAGAGAAATTAAAAAAAAAACGATTTTGTTAAAATATATATAAACCTTAATTAATTACCAGAGAGCACGCTTGTGTTCTTTAAATCAATTCATTTAATTAATTTTAATTAATTTTATTTTAATTATTTATTTATTTTCAAAACTGTTTCCAAATTAATTTATTATTTTTAATTTATTTCTAATTCTTTTTGTTTTTAATATTTATTTATTTTGAATACTTTCAAAATGGTTTACTTTATTAATTTTTATTTTATTTCTTTGCATTTTATTTATTAGCTAAGTCCTAAGCATGGACCATAAGGTTCATAATTGCTTGGC